CCAGGCTGGAGTGCATTGGCATGATCTCAGCTCACTGCAACCTCCACCTCCCAGGTTCAAGCAGTTCTCCTGCCTCAGCTTCCAGAGTAGCAGGGATTACAGGCATGCACTACCACACCCGGCTAATTTTTGTATTTTTGGTGAAACCCCGTCTCTACTATATTGGCCAGGCTGGTCTCAAACTCCTGACCTCAAGTGATCTGCCCGCCTCAGCCTCCCAAAGTGCTGGGATTACAAGCATGAGCCACTGTGCCCTGCCGGCACAGACAGCATTTAAATGAAAAAAGTTAGACAACTATTATACTAAGAATGGTGTAGCGGTAAGTACCTCAAAGGCAGTTGCATTTGGCTGTGTGCTGTGTTTATGTGTTAATATGACTTTGATGCTCTGGAAGTTTTAATTTTAAGCAAAGTAATTTAGGGTTCCCAAACTTACCTAACATTGGAATCCCATGGGGAGCTTCAACAAATATGCTTCAGTCTCCTAGAGACCATGACTGAAATTTTCTGAAATAAGACCTGAACTTTGGAATTTGTAAAAGATCCTCAGGTGATTTTAACATGCAGAGAAGCTTGGGAACCACTGCTGTGATATCAGAGTCAGCCACGGGACTCAAAAGACTGTTCCTTCCATCGTTCCCCCATGCAAGCTGAACAATCTGTGTACTACACCATTGCTTTACAAAGTCTGTTATGATGTAATTCTAGTTTAGACTCATGGATGTGATGGACCTAAGATGTGCACAGCTTTTTGGCTTTTTAAACTTAGAGTTAGTATTCATAATGCTCTCCCTTACCCCCTCCACTACCACACCCCCTGCTTTTTAGCAGTTATTTTAGACGTGAAATGCATTTGGGATCTAAATAAATTGGTCACATGGATTAAAATATGAAAAGCTTATTTTAACTGATTACCTCAAACTCAAGAATACCCCTCTTAAGTGTGGTAGATGTCATGCTCAAAAAAACTTTATACTTCATTGCATACTAGAATGAACACACAGGTTCACACTTTTTCTAGATGAAAGACATTAACTGTTCCGCTTTAAGGTCTTGGTGCTGGGCCTTAGGCTGCAGATCATAGCAGAATGAAAGAGTAATTTGCATCAAAATAGGACTTTTAATCATTTGAGCTACATTATGCTAATAAGAATCTGACAGAATTGTCTGCAAACAATCTGCATGTCTGACAGCCTCTCTGTAGACAAAGGTTATCTGCCCAGTAATTGAGTGGCAAGAAACCACTAATCCATAAAATCATTCAAGTTGCAGCTAAAAGCCTGGCAGTTTCTCTTTGGGTCAATTTATATTTTGTTCCAAAGCTTACTTTAGAATAATAGTGTTTAGCTGTTGCTTCGTCCCTGGTGATGCCCAAGCCAAGCTGAAGACACCTTGCATGGTAGAAGGATGCCATCGCCATGCCTCTGCTGATGAACTCCGGGAGACATTCTGTGACCTGGGCGATCATGGGGATGTCGTGAACCTCATCATAATCAGCAATCCTGAGAGGATGTAGAGTTGTGAAATTGAAGAGGACATCAGTTATGGTTTAAGTGTAAAACGATGTGCCTAGAAACTCCTTGTGCCAAAGCGATTTCTCTCTGCTGCTTTGAGAACTGAGTTGTTTGCTGTGTGGTGAAGGGTTCGTGTAGCCAACTCCTACCAGGAGATGAACTTAACATAGTGGTGGCTTTACATCTCTATAATTATGCTCAGCAGGCTCAATAACCACTAAAAAACAAAGGTATGTTTCTTTTTTCTTGTAATATTACTATTGGAAGTTTAATGTCACTGTGGATTTAACCTAAATGGAGGAGAAAGCATTTTCTATTTCTTTGGATCACGTATGGAAACATAACCTTAAATTTGGACTAGCCACATAGGACCAGAAAACCTTTTAAGTAAAGTAGCACATCCTCTTTAAAAATGGGCAATGAAAAGAAGTCATCCTTTATACCCAGACATAAACATGGAGAATTGTGTGAAAATGCGATCCAGTCAACTCCATGTTAACCTCCATGATAATCACAGTGTTATATAGGTTAACATGTTAACCGTGTTAACCACAGCGTTAACTCCGTGTTAACCACAATGAGTAGGAATGTGGAGAATAATGGAAAGCACCAAAGATTTTAAAGATTTAAAGTCTTAGTTCTAACTAAGATGAGCACTTGCTTTGAGACACGGCAATCACCCCTGTAAGTGGTCTGCTGCCTGGAGCCCAAGACAGTGGGGAAGGGGCTAAAAGCATCTCCTCCTTTGCTTCATTCTCTCTTGTAGATCACTGCCCTGCACTAAGGCTTGGAGAGAGGAGAGACCCGGCACTGGGAAACATACCAGCACACGCAGAGTCTGATGGCCACTGCAGAGAACTCCCAGGTCTGTTTCCCTGCCATGTCGCTTTTATACACTGTGGGTAAATATGTGTAGGAAAGTACACGGAGCCTTACGGACTCCAGAAAAAAGACTTTATTATATATTTTATTACATATAGTGTCAGTCTTTTAGCCACATTCTCATGTTACAGTTCCTACGAAGCTATATTTTAGTTGTGCACTTACAGAGCTGCATGACCAAGGAGTGTAGGGAGAAATGAAGACATCATAAATATTTGTGATATGCCAAGCTGTGTTAAGCACATTATTATAATCCTGCTGTAAAAGCATTCTCTTCTTACAAAGCAAGCAATTGCTGCTTAAGAAACTTGCTTCAGCTCATAGCACTGAAATCCTGAAGGCTAATTGCATAGAATTGTGCTATCCAGTATGGTAACCACCAGCCATATGAATATTTACATTGATTAAAATGTTCAATGTTGAGTGCTAAGTTGCACGTGACACGTTTCAAGTGCTCAATAGCTGTCATTTCTAATATTGCAGAAAGCTCTGTGAAGGATTTGGCATAGAACATCTAGTAGGAGTTCTTGTCAATACTTTTCATCCAGTTATTTACTCAGACATTGCTATGGTTTGAATAGGAAGTTCCCTCCAAAATTCCAGTGTTGCTAGTGTGATTGTATCAAGAGGTGGAGCCCTTAAGAGGGCATGAGGGCACCTCCGTCATGAATAGAAGAGGTTTCCTGTAGCTTTCTGCTGTCACGTGAGGACATGGTGGTCTTCCCCTCTGGAAGCTGCCGCCCTCACCAGACAACCAAACCTACCTTGATCTTGAACTTCTTGGCCTCTGGAACTGAGAGAAATTTCTGTTCTTTAGAAATTACCTGTTGTGTAGTATTCTGTTACAGCAGCACAAAACAAAGATATTCACCTTTTGGAAAATGCAACACACTTTGTAAAAAATTTCATCTTGTAGTAATACTCCACGAGATTGCCTTGAGCATAGACATTTCCCCGTTCTGCTGCTTCTCTTAGGCAATGCAGGGCAGCTTCAGTATCCTGGCGGATGCCTTGTCCGTACAAGTACATGAGACCAAGCGCACCCTGGGACTCCAGATTCCCATTGCCACATGCCTCTGAATGCCAGTAAAATGCCTGAGAAAAGCACAGTTTCATCATTTTATTTATGATCCACTCGATGAAATTATAAGGGAATACTAGACAGAAAAGAAACCTGTGGTTACAAGATAGCACTATTTTTTTTTTTTTTTTTTTTGAGTCGGAGTTTCGCTCTTGTTACCCAGGCTGGAGTGCAATGGCACAATCTCGGCTCACCGCAACCTCCGCCTCCTGGGTTCAGGCAATTCTCCTGCCTCAGCCTCCTGAGTAGCTGGGATTACAGGCATGTGCCACCATGCCCAGCTAATTTTTTGTATTTTTAGTAGAGACGGGGTTTCACCATGTTGACCAGGATGGTCTCGATCTCTTGACCTCGTGATCCACCTGCCTCGGCCTCCCAAAGTGCTGGGATTACAGGCGTGAGCCACCGCGCCTGGCCAACATAGCACTATTAATCATCTCTAGAAAATAGCTGTAGGCCTTTGGACACATTTCACGCTAGCACACATGCCTAAAACAGTGTGGAGGTGAGTTCCTCTGCTGTCTGTCCACAGTGCGGGTGAGGTCACAGTCCAGACAGCTTATGGCAGAGGAGGACCAGCTGTCCTGGCTTTCAGGATCTGGGGATCTTGCAGAGCAAGGATCAGGAAGGTACCAAATAGAAACAAATGGTGTCTGAAAGGCTTGAGGCACAGCAGAGGCAGGAGAACCACCGATGCTATGGGGGAGTTCGAGCTCCCAGTGCATTCTAGAGATGGCAGCTGCTGTGATAGGGGCAGCCAAGGATAAACGCTATATGTAGTCTCAAGCACATTTGCTTCAGAGTCCGCTGCAGTGAATTTGAATTAGTTTAAAAAATTGCAGGTGGCTGCTCATGTATCCGAAGATGGCCTTAGTTGTTACGTGCCTCTTGCAAATTTGCCATTAACGTTAACTCTCCCCGATGGTTTTAAATATAAAACCCACATACTTCTTCCCCACCATTTCCTTCTCCCTATAGGATTTTTTGGAAACTGTTTCGATCGTTGATGAAAGATTATATTTCTGTGAAAATCTTAGATGGATTTAATTTGTAACTAATTCTTACTATATTTTACTTACTAGTATCATTTATTTCTCAAATCAAAGGTAATATTAATCTATTCATACTTAAAAAGATTTCGGCCTTAATTTCAGAACTGTTTCTCTTTTTCTTAGCTTTGATAGTATAGGATACAAAATATTCTCAGATTCATGGTTTCCTTTGGTAGAGGTAGGGAAGGTGACATTTATAATTAAAAGGCTTTGAGATCCCCAAATGTACACTTTCTCTACATTTTAAGGAAATAGAAGACACATTTAAAACTACATACTTGTTCCCCACCAATTTCTCAAAAAAGAAAGAAACAAACAGTAATCTGAATATAACGCTAGCATTAAAAAGAAAGGCGGGAATGTCACCTTTTCTAACTCTCTGGGCTCCTTGGTGGCGTAATACAGCCCGAGGATGCCTTGAGCCTTCACACTGGCTTTGGGGTTCCCATTGTCTGCTGCAATAAGCCACAGTCTACAAGAGAAAGTGAGGCATGTTATTCTTGGTTTCAATATTTCATTCAATCCTAATCTTGTTCTCAGGTAGGATTACCTTTCAGCTTCCTCATTTGATCGTTTAACACCTTTTCCTTCATAATAAGCTCTTCCGAGGTTGTAAGCGGCTGCAAATTTTAAGTGCCTTGCTTTGGGACATGGAGAATCAATAATTTTCTTCATATAGTCCACCCCTTTCTCCTTCGACAAAAGAAAGAACAAAAAAACCCCTCATTTTTAGTTTTGCCCAAACTGAATTTCTTTCTCCCAATAAGGCTGTGAAGTGTCCGCCCTCTGATATGATGTGTAATAGTATGAATCTGCCCAGTCCGATTGTCCTGGATTCTGCAGTGGTAAGTGATAAGGACGAAAAGAATTTCTAAAAGCATATCTCCTATTCAAGCACTCCCAGGAGCTCTGGGATATAAGGCATTTCCTTCCTTTTACAGCTGCCTGAGTTGATTTAAGTCTCAATATGGGCTTCCTTTTTTCTCTTCTCCCTCCCGTCTGAGAATCCTTATCCTGAATCAGCATAGTTGTTAGAACTGACTCAAGTGCAAGAATGGTCAGGAATCTCTTTCACATTTCTAATTCTTACAGTACACTTGGGAGCCCCTAACGAATACTGTCTTCCATTCAAGCACACTTTTTACTGTGTGCTCATAGTTTGCATCTAATATACAGATCTTAGTCACTAATATGACAGCAGTCACAGGGAAAGCACAGATGACATTCTAACCACTATCAAGACCACATCAGCACCCTCCACCCCCAAATACATCAGACACAAACCTTTAAACATCACCCAAAAGAAGAAAATAATGTTGGACGAGCAAATAAATTTTGGTTTTTGTTTGTTTGAGATGGAGTCTTGCTCTGTCGCTCAGGCTGGAGCGCAGTGGAGTGATCTTGGCTCACTGCAGCCTCCCACTGCTGCCTCCCAAGTAGCTGGGATTGCAAGCATGTGCCACCAATGCTTGGCTAATTTTTTTATTTTTAGTAGAGACAGGGTTTCACCATGTTGGCCAGGCTGGTCTCGAACTCCTGACCTCAAGTCATCTGTCTGTCTCAGCCTCCCAAAGTGCTGGGATTACAGGCGTGAGCCACCACGGCTGACCTCAAATACATTTTGATACACTCATTCTAGCCTTTCCCTCACTGCTTTCTCAAAGTGCTATTGCTGGCCGAACACCACAGTAATAGATGAGAAAGTAAAGGAGTTTTAGTGATGCCTAAACTACAGGGACTTATTTTTGTGAATATGTGAAGTCGATATCTACCATTTTCCCCCACCGGAACTGGACAGTAAGATAATTTTAGGTAACAGTTATCAAGTGAGTGGTTAATACATCTTCCCACGGGTTACGATTCAATCTGGACAAAATATTTAAAACATTGTCTATAGGTACCAGAAAGTACCAAGCAAGCAGGCCAAAGAAGAGATTACTCTCGAAAACTGCAGCTGTAAGGGATCCATAGAGTTCAGTGAGTCCGAGGCAGGACAAACAAAATCCTCTCCCAGGTACATGTCATGCTGAAACTGCTAAAAGCCAAACATAAACAAAAGCTGGAAAGCAGTTAGAGGAAAATGACACATTACATTCAATAAAACTAGGGGCTGGGCTGGACGCAGTGGCTCACTTTGGGAGGCTGAGGTGGGTGGATCACCTGAGGTCAGGAGTTTGAGACCAGCCTGGCCAACATGCTGAAACCCTGTCTCTACTAAAAATGCGAAAATTAGCCAGGCGCAGTGGTATGTGCCTGTAGTCCCAGCTACTGTAGAGGCTGAGGTGCAAGAATCACTTGAATCTGGGAGGTAGAGGTTGCAGTGAGCCGAGATTGCGCCACTGCACTGTAGCCTGAGCAAAAAGAGGAAAACTCCATTAAAAAAAAAACAAACTACGGACCAGCTTCATGAGAAGTGAAGACCAGATGATTTTAGAATGACATATTTAAAGTGTGGACAGAAAGAATTGTCATCCAGAAAAATAATTCATAAAAAAATGAAGGGAAATTAAAGGCATTCTTTTTTTTTTTTTTTTTTTACGGAGTTTCACTCATGTTACCCAGGCTGGAGTGCAATGGCGCGATCTCGGCTCACCGCAACCTCTGCCTCCTGGGTTCAGGCAATTCTCCTGCCTCAGCCTCCTGAGTAGCTGGGATTACAGGCATGCGCCACCATGCCCAGCTAATTTTTTGTATTTTTAGTAGAGACGGGGTTTCACCATGTTGACCAGGATGGTCTCGATCTCTTGACCTCGTGATCCACCCGCCTCGGCCTCCCAAAGTGCTGGGATTACAGGCTTGAGCCACCGCGCCCGGCCTAGGCATTCTTAAATGTTTAACAAAATCAGAGAAAACTCATTAACTCCAGACCCATGCTACAAGAAATGCCCCTTTATGAAAGTCATTCAGGGCCAGGCACAGTGGCTCACGCTTGTAATCCCAGCACTTTGGGAGGCCAAGGCAAGTGGATCACCTGAGGTCAGGAGTTTGAGAGCAGCCTGGACAACATAGTGAAACCCTGTCTCTACTAAAAATGCAAAAATTATCTGGGCATGGTGGTAGCAACCTGTAATCCCAGCTACTTGGGAGGCTGAGTGAGGCAGGAGAATTGCTTAAACTTGTGAGGCAGAGGTTGCAGTGAGCCAAGATTGTGCCAGTGCACTTCAGTCAGGGTGACAGAGTGAGATTCTGTCTCAAAAAAAAAAAGTCATTGAGGTTGAAAGAAAGTAGGAAATGGTGCCAGATGGCAGCTCAGGCTGATAGATAGCAAGGAATGATGAGCACCTGAAAGATGGAGCAGACATGAAAGGACACACACGAGCACTCATATACGCGTGTACATATTTTCTCTCTCTTTTTCCCAAAGCTGTGTGACTAAAGCAAAAACTAGAACTGTAATTTGTATTCTGGGGTTGATGACCCATATAAATGTAACATGTATACCAGAACACACAGCAGCAAGGATTGGGGGTGGGTAAATGAAAACACTTCTTCAACGTTCCTACGATTCACCTGAAGTAACTCGCTATTAACTCTATGTAAATTGTGACATTTGAAAGTGCATATTATAATCTCAAAAAAAAAAAAAAAAAAAAAAACAAGAACAGCTAAAAAATTAAGTGGAATGCTAAATGGTAATCAAATTATCCCATCACCATTTCTCTTAAGTCTGAAATGACATTTTTTTTAAAAATTTTGAGACAGTCTCACTTTGTCCCCCAGGCTGGAGTGCAGTGGTGCGAACCCAGCTCACTGCAACCTCTGCCTCCCAGTTTCAGGTGATTCTCCTGCTTCAGCCTTCCAGGTAGCTGGGATTACAGGTGTCTGCCACCATGCCTGGCTACTTTTTGTATTTTTAGTAAAGAAGGGGTTGTACCATGTTGGCCAGGCTGGTCTCGAACTCCTGACCTCAGGTGATCCACCTGCGTTGGCCTCTCAAAGTGCTGCCGTGAGCCACCACACCTGAACAGAAATAGCAATTTTATGATATGCTAAATACCCACGTATATATGTGGGTAATACCCAGTTATGTGAATCTGGAAGGGTTTTGGAGAGAAACTGACAGTCGGGTTGGAGTTGGGGATGGAGAAAGGGAAGAGAGGCAAAAAGAAATTGATTTTTTAAAAATGTTTTTTATATAAATGTAAAAATACCAATATTCTTTAAGATGCTAAAAATCTAGATGTCATTCAAATATAAGGATAGATATGTATTAAAATATAATTTTAATTGTGTCCAATAATCCACTGACAGTGCAACCTTAACCACTGTGACCAAGACACGAACTTACAGCGTCTAGAGTGGTCCCCAGCGCGTCATAATACATCACTCCTAGCTGGTAAGTTGCTTGATGGTCTTTCTCCTTGATTTCTTCAAACTGTTCTAATGCTTCTTCATACCATCCCTAGAAGCACCCAGAAGATATTTAATTATGATCTTAAAGTAATCCCGGGCCCGGCACATGGACTCATGCCTGTAATACCAGCACTTTGGGTGGAGGTCAGGAAATCGAGACCATCCTGGCTAATATGGTGAAACCCTGTCTCTACTAAAAATACAAAAAGTTAGCCAGATGTGGTCGCCTGTAATCCCAGCTACTCAGGAGGCTGAGGCAGGAGAATCGCTTGAACCCAGGAGGCAGAGGTTGCAGTGAGCCAAGATTGCGCCACTGCACTCCAGCCTGGTGACAGTGCGAGACTCTCTTTCAAAAAAAGAAAAAAAAAAGTAGGCTGGGCGCGGTGGCTCACGCCTGTAATCCCAGCACTTTGGGTGGCCGAGGCGGGTGGATCACGAGGTCAAGAGATCGAGACCATCCTGGTCAACATGGTGAAACCCCGTCTCTGCTAAAACTACAAAAAAATTAGCTGGGCATGGTGGCGCGTGCCTGTAAT